TTTCGAGCCGCCTACCGCCTCTAGCCGTCCGCGGACGCCCTGATTACCGGGTAATTACCCTTCTGCGGTAATTACCCGGTAATTACCGGTAATTACCGAGGCCTCCCGGGCACTACCCGGTAATCCGGCGGTCATACGAGTGGCTCCGGGTTGGCGCTTATCCAGGGGGGTTCGCGGGGTGCCTCGGCGAACCGAGCCAGGCGGCGGCCGGAGGCCGCCCCCTAGCCGTCGCGGCGGAGGTTGGTCGTGAGGGTGGCGAGCCTCGGAGGGCGGCCGCCGGGCACGAGCCGGGCGCGGTCCGCGAGGCGGCGCGCGGCGTCTTCGGTCAGTGTGCCCAAGCGGCGCCGGGGGTCGACAGACGACAGAGACGATGCCCGCGCGCCGCGGCCCCGAGCTGGCGCTTGGGGCGCCGTCGCTCGGCGGCAACACCCTCGGCAGTCCGCGTAAAGAGGCGCTCCGAGTCGCCCCGCGCGACGTGCCCGAATGCGTCGGCGGCGACGGCGCTCGCCGAACCCAAAAAGTTACGAAACTGTCGCGGGTCGGCTCAATCGACGTTGCATCCACGCGCGCGCCGTGATCACGAGCTCACGGACCAGCGCGAGCTCGCCGCGGACCAGCGCGAGCTCGCCACACGACTACGTGCCGGCTGCCGCGCCGCGCGCGGTCGGGCGCCTCGACTCGGGCGGCAAGGCGACGAGGACGCAGAAGTAGCCGCGCCCCACCCCCCGCCGCGACGCGGCGACGCGGACCCGGACGCGGACCCGGACGCGGACCCGGATGCTCGCCGTCGCGCGCGCGCCGCGACGCGGCCGCCGAGGCCGCGGAGCAGTGCCGGCGCGGCATCGGCCTCGGCGTGGCCCCGACGTGCTCCACGCTGGTGCTCGATCTTTTGCGCGACGCGGCCGCGGGGCCCGTCGGTGCGGTCGTTGAGTCCGGCGACGGCGCGGTCGCGGAGCCTGTCGCCGGCTCGGCCGCGCGCGCGTCGTAGACGCCGTCTGCCACGGCGGCCGCGCCGCGACGGCGGCGACGCCTTCGTCGCGCGCGGCGACGCCGTCGCCGCCGCACCAGACGACGCCGTGGGCCGGCGCCGCTGCCGCGCACTACGACGCCGCGACACGGGCCGCGACACGGGCGGTGGCGGGCGGGCCGCCGCCGCCGCCGTCGCCGCCGCGCTCGCGCTCCGCGACGACGCGGCCGCGAACCCAGCGACGCCCTCGGCGTACGACGCGCCGATGCCCTCGGCGTAGTGCGTGGCGACGGCCTCGGTGCAGCGTGCGGCGACGCCCTCGTAGCGTGCGGCGACGGCCTGGGCGTCGCGCGGCGACACTGGCGCTGCGCGCCGTGGCGGACGAGCTGTCGGCGGCGGCGCCCGCAGCGGCTGCAGCGGCTGCGACAGCGGCGCGGGCCATATGCTTCGCCGCTCGACGCGCACGCGCGCGTGGCGCCGTCGCTACGGCCGTGCGACGCCGTCGACCTGGGCGCGGGCGGCGTCGGGTCGCGGCGGCGGCGCTCGCGTTCTCGCTGGCCGCGCAAGCGTTCGAGGCGGCGCCCGCGGCGCTCAGGCGGACCCCGGCGGCGGCACTGACCGCAGCCGACGCGGCGACGGAGCGGGCACGCGGCTGCGCCGCGACCGCGCGCGGCTACTCGGGCGACGCGAACCGACGCGGGCCGCGCGCGGCGCGGCACGCGGCCGCGGCACCTCCATGATCTTCGACGGCGGCGACGGCGGCGGCGACGGCGGGCGCCGCCGCGTGCTTCGTGGCGAGACGGACCGCGCTCGCGCAGCACGACATCTTCGCGCGCGCGCCCAGCGTCCCGAACGGCCGAAACGGAAGCGTCCGACTTTTTTGCCACAAGAACGACTCACAAGGAACGATCTGGCAGTTGAAGACCCTTCCGAGGCCTGGGTCATCGAGAGTCACATCTCGCTCGTCATCGTCGCTGTGGTCGTGCGCCGGCGTGGGGCGCCGAGGGGCGCCTGGGGGGGGGGTCTTGAAGGGCAATGGGACCCATTCTCATGTGACACAGGTCAAGAGACCACACCTCTTCGCGCTGTTCGCGCCGCTGCGCCCCCCGATAGGCCTCTCGACGCGTCTGTTGACACATGGCGCGACGCCTGCGCCCTCGGGGTTATTTCGTGTCGTCCCCGATCCCGGGAATCGCAATACTTTACCCCGTAGGCGGACGCGTCGTGCGACGTCGAGATGACGGA